GAAACGAGCGGAGCAAACGCTCCACGCGGGCGGCTCGAGAGAGGCAGAGGTAAGATCTTGCAGAGGATAAGATCCGCGGCAGTGATAAGGAGAGGGGAGCCTGCGCTACGGTCGGGCGAGCGGGACAAGTGGGACAAGCGATAGGAGCGCGGGAGTTTAACGAGACGGGCGAGAGACGGGCCGAGCGAGCGAGAGATTAGGGCTGAGGCCCGCAGGCTTTAGAGGGGAATAGGGAGAGTCCTAAAGTTAAATGTTTAGTATAGGAAATAATAATACTAATAATAATATTAATATTAATATTATTATTATTATTATTATTATTATTATTATTATATTACCCATTTTGTGTATTTTCTCCCAGGCGTGTCGCCGTAGTGAAACGAATGTCTCCCCTAAGCAAAATCAACGTTTCGGACGCATCGACGCAGTCCGTTTCGCCATCTGAAGTCGTTTAGGCAACCTCTTCAACGAGCAGGTCAAAAACGCGGCACGATCTGATTCCCGTCAAAATCTTAGTTTGAGCTCAATTAACCAGAATGGTGTAGATGGTTGTCACGAAGTGTTTAGAAAAGGTTCAGAATACTTTTGATTTGATTTGGGGGTTGTGAATGAGGTGAAAGCGAGTAACAGTGAGTGAAAAGTTCCAAACCAACATCCAAGGTCAACCTTAAGGTCAAGCAGTCCTATGGGAACTCATCTCGAGCTACTCTATATTGACCCCACCTACTAAGTGAACAAACACAATGAAATAAGATATTTATTGGTAACTTATATGCGATCCTAGAGTCAATAAATCTTTGATTACACACATGCAACAGATTTTAGTGCATTTAACTAATGAAATGATTACATGCAAAAATTGCTCCATCTCGAGGTTAATTAGACACAAACTTCGTAAGCAAAAAGTCTTTTTTCTCTTATGCTGGAGTTTTCTGTATGGCCATCCCATTTTGCCAAGAATGACAAGACGAGATTATTGTATGATCTTTTTTCAAAGAAAAAACATATCAGAATGAAAATAAAAAATCTTATATTACTGCTGCGTCAAAAATTTTGAGTTTGCTCATAAAATTAAAATTCTATCAGTGTTAAAATTTATTAAAAAAAAAAAACTTCAACAACACTTTTCATCTAGTAAAAAATCCTACTGATCCTAATAAGATAACCAATAAATATAAAAAAGATTTTTAGGGGCATTTACGTGCATACCACCAAATTGCTATGTATTTACATAACTACCACCTAAACTTCTTAAATTTCTAAAACCTAAATCTTTCATATCACATCAAAAATATCACTATGTTAACTTCTAAAAAAAAAAGTAAAATACACCTTTCATGCATAGGTAAGGTAGCACAAATGTAAAAATTGAAATTTATGAGTTAGATATGTAAATATGAAAGAAT